GGTGGTAACTAGGCGATGGACTTGCATCCTGCAAAGAAAGGGGGAACAAGACTCGTGGTGGCTTAATGCTATTGAAACCAAGGAAAAGTCTGACAGGATGGGCTTGGCTCATAAGATGACTTAGCATTGTCCTCTTCATGTCGTTGATTTTCAGATATGTGAGGAACCTTCCTGTCAGTCATCAGGCCCTGCAGATAAAGTGTAAACTCTGCCAGCTGATTGATGTGGTTGGTATTTTTGCTATGAGTGAATCCACTTTTCTCAAAAACCACCGTGATACGAAATGGAAATGACTGGATGAAATATGACAGCACTCAAAGCTGTAAGAAGCAGTGAATACTTAATTGTTTGTTGTTGCTTTTGATGGCAGATTATGGCAAAGAGAGACGAATTATTACTTCATCAAGAAGTGAAGCTACGGAACAAGCTTGTGGAATACCTCACTGATTGGGTTCTGCCATCTGCCGAACATCATCAGAGTATTCCTCTAGAGCTCTCGGGTTTATCCAAGTAAGTTCTATCGTTGCCGAGCTTTCCAGGCTCCCGAAGTGCTGTTTTGATGAAAATGCAGGTTTCCTTTCATCGCAGCCAAAAAACTTCGTAATGGTCTGTTTTTGTGGCTTCCCTCATCTAGCCGTGTTTTCAGATTTATTTTTCATATTTTAAGTCGTTGAAACACCGAGCTCTAGGAGCTAGATTTGTTACCGTCTACACATCGAACGACTCTAACGCTTTTCTTGTGCTCTCCAGGCCTCCCGCATGTCTTCCATACTTTGATATACGTACGGTTATCACGCTGGTGCCCAAGGGGATATATCGCTTTTGTCACAAATGCTGAAAGTTAAGGCACCAATAAGGCTCAAAACAAAGATTGTTTCTGTTGGAATTGTGACGTCCTCATTGCGATACAATTGTCTACGCAAAATTTGCAAGCTATAAATTTATCATTAATATTATCAGGCCTTTTTCTGTACTGACTCCTCCTACCTGACTCTCATATGTTTGAGATGGATGCATTCTTTATTCACGTATCAATCACATGAAATTTGGTTTTGCAGAGATCTTGATGCTACTGTGATGCGTGCAATAGCATCACTCCTGTCCGGGTTACCCCTGCAACCTGAGGGGATGGAGACAGACATTATGGAGGCCAAGTCACAACTTTTTCTTAAGTAAGAATTACGAATTGGAAAAAAAAAATCAGTACGTGATTTCTATGTTTTAAAACGCTTAGAAATCAACTGCATGAACGCATTCGTGAATTCATATTTTTTGCCAACTGATGGAATTATCTAGTATTCTTCTCTCATAAACTTTTGCTGAGGTCGATTGTTCCACGCTATTTTAGAATGTGGAAATTGGGCTATTATTCCTGACAATATCACCAAGCCGAAATCAGTTTATAACAGGGAAGGATCAGAGTCCAAGGAAGCTGACTTCTTTCTACAGTTTCTGATTTTCTTCATACGATTCCCCAGTATCGTGTCAAACATATCTTTCTGTGCAAATCAACAATTCAATTTAAAGGTGTACCTGTTCTTGTGTGAACCGATGTATTAAAATTTCTCTTGATAGAGGAGAATTGGTAGGACGTGACGAGTCTTAATTCGACAACCGATTTTTATTGGAGTTTTCGCCTCGCTAATTCATGTCGTTGAGAAAAATTGCGAAAAGCTTACAGAGAGTCCTTTGTCAGCTTTTAGCTCTAAGAAATTACATAGACGGTTTCTCGTTTATTAACTATATATTTTGATTTAGGTACTTCACTCTATTTATGAACTTGATGAACGGGGAGAAAGGTACAAAAACTACAGATGAGCAAGAAGAAAAAGGTGAAATGCATCACAACGCATCCCAAACATTGCATCAAAATGCCGTCCTAGCTATGTCCAACCTTCTGAATGCGAACATTGATACTGGGCTTATGTATGCAATAGGTAAGTGAATTCAACGTTTTAGACCGTAACATCAGTAACACATGTTCATGGGAAGGTAGACGGAAGGGGAATTGAGTTATTTACTGTTACTACATTTTTCAGGTCTTGGTTACCATGACGATTTACAGACAAGAGCTGTATTTATGGAGGTCCTCACCAAGATTCTACAACAGGTTTGTTCTGAATAATTTTTTTAATTTAGATCTTGTCTCAACCTTCTATTCATTTCAGAAGTAAGTTTTACTTTTGATTGACTTATTCAGTAACTATTCCTCAGGGCACTGAATTTGACAATTTGGCAGACACGGTCTTAATGGACAGATTTGATAGACTAGTGGACTTGTTGACGCTGACAGGAGAGAAGGGGAAACTTCCGATTGTGATGGCTTTGGCCAATGTAGTACCATCACAGCAGATGGTAACCTTTTTTTTTCTTTTCGAAAACTCTATAGAATCCCTAAGTTTATTCAATCTCTGGATATCAACCCAGAATGGTTTTAGGCAAGTTCAGTCATGCAACGGTGTTAAGTCTTATAAAGTAATCAAATCGGTTAATCTATTGATTTCCAGTAGTGAGCGACATAGAACATCCCCTTTACAACACCAATGCGTTATTAGGCAGGTAGATTGTGAGAATTACGAAAATGATTGGATGTTTGTCATGGTACTGAGCCACAAACTTTCATGACCAATCTATAGTACATGGAAATGTGAAGTTTTTAGAATGAAGAATGACCAAGTAAAAGTGGAGTTATGAAGTTTAAATTAACAGTGAATAGTTTCCGTGTTCTGGTTGTGTCATGTATCTTTTTGTAAGCCAGTCTCCATCGGAGGACGCCTCATATAAGCTTATTTTGTTGTTATGCGGTAGTAACCGTGGAAAGCGGCAAAATTGAATTAGTCGTTAAGATTTCCCTCTTTTTGTAATTTTAGGATGAGCTGGCCCATGTCCTGGTCACTCTGTTTGATGACAGAAAGAATCTGCCTCAGCTGCTGAATAACGTATTTTCTATGGAGGTACGTACCACGAATTAGGTTTGTTTAGTTAATTTCAGAACATTTGATAATGAATTTCCCAAGTCACCAAAGGTTAAGTTGATTGAAACAAACATGAACCACTGAGGTTTTAACCCTTTACACCCTAACATCAGGATACAATTTCTCCATACTGCTCTCTATACATTTCCTATGGTACTGACAAAGAGAATTTGTTTAATAATCAAGAGCTGCTTTAGTTGGTGATCATTTCCTTTATTCTCATGACCTCAATGTTTGTTTTAGGTGCGATACTGATGGGAGAAAATACTTACTAATCACTCTTAGGGGTTAAAGGGTTAAGAAACCTAGTCAGAGTAGTCTCAGTTTTCTCGAATACCTCGTCTTAACCCTTTAACTCCCTGATCAAATTTGTCTTTCTCCTTATTGTCAACCATACAATTCTTATAATGTTAGTTCTGAGAATTTAGTATTGGATCAACTAATTATCCCCAAATTGACATTTTTCTTTATTCTCATCACTTATCTGCATGACATTGTATTGATAATGTAAGGAGAAATTCTGTCTTGGTCACTCATGGGAGTTAAAGGGTTAAATTCTTTTTCAACCTCAAGCAGTGAAAAAGACCATTTTAAAGCATATCCTAAGACCAAACTATCACATTTTGTAAAAGTTGTAAGACTTAATTTTGTAGGTTGAAATAAACGAACTAAACCATCTTTTGAACAGGGTAATATGTTATTATGAACTGAGCTGGTAGCGTCTATTGGCAATTGCGAAGAGTTTAAAGTCTGACGTTTCGAGCGCTGACGAAGGGCTAACGCTCGAAATGTCAGCTTTTAAACTCTTTACGGTGGCCAATTTACGTCGTTATCAACTCAGTTGATAATACCAAATTACCTTGTTACACCTCCCCACCGACGCAGCACCACAGTTTCTTTAAAAACTTACGCCTTTTATTCATCTTTTGAACAGGTTTACAGCACGGAGGGAATGCAGACGCTCTTTAGAGGAAACAGTCTTTCCAGTAAAACCATGGCATACTGTTTCAAAGTATTTGGTGGCAGTTACCTTCACACACTTCTTGCACCGCTGATAGCTCCTATGTACAAAGAACATGTCTCATTTGAAGTGGATCCTACAAGGTTGGTTTACAACAGAGTTGTGATCTCTTTGTGTGCGGCTTTTTGGCAAATTCGTTGCAAATGAACGTGAAATTCACCTCCGGTGAAAACCTGGCTTAACTCGTCCTGGAGTAGTCTTGGTGACTATAAGCAGAGGTCTCAATTGTTTATTAACCAGTGATTTACTTGCTTCTCTTCCGTTTAAGGACAAGTCATTTAGTTTCTGTCTTTCTTTTAAAATTGTAAATGACACTGATGTGGTTTCTGAAGCATAATTCTCTTTTAAAGTAAGATCAAGTGCCTGAGAATCACTGAGCGCTTGCGTTTCTTATCACAGATCCTAAATTATGCGTATTTCTGTTTTCTCATTTAAGGCTGGAAAAAGGTCAAAATGTCGAAGAGAACAGAAATAACCTGATTAAGGCCGCTCAAAAGTTCATCAACGAGATTGTAATTTCAGCTGAAAGGTAAATCGGGATTAGTGTTCAGCACAGTTCAGGCACTCTGTAGCTTTGTTGTGGTGATTTCATTTGAAGTGCGTTTCTAACTGGTTCAACTTGATGTTTGCATGAATGTCTTTGAGACATTATTCTCAAAGTTTGAGATGTGGCTTTAGTACTGAACCCACCTTATTTTTCTGTCTGTGTATTAGTTTTCCTATCCAGCTACGGCGTCTGTGTAACTCTCTTAGGGAGGTATGTGTGTAACACTTAAATATTACGTCTTACTATATATAAACACCAATGAAATACCAAGTGAGCTTTCGCGCGAAAACGTGATATCGTCACACGTAAAAAGATCACTGTTGCTATGGGTACATATTAAAATCGTGCCTTACGAAATGTTTAGTGTTTCCGTTTGGAGATACGGCATTTCTCTTCTCGCGGAATGAGAAATTTCGTATATCCGTGCGGCCATGTAATATCGTCTATTTAAAAAGAGTTTTGGAGTTTTTCTTTCCTTTCCAACTAAAGAAGCTCTCTATTGTCAAACGGCAAATTCTCCTTGTCTGCATCCTAGGAAATAAATACTATTAATCTGATATAAGGATTTAAAAGATCGATAGATGATCGAGGAACTTTATTTGTCGTTTGAAACATTCAAACTCACCGTAGTGGTGTTTTCTGACGTTAGTTAAAATTTTTATGATTCTTTGAATCAACTGACCATTCACTGCAAATATATTTATTTTGGTTACAGATTGTTCACCAGAGATTCCCAAAGCACAGTTTGGAAGCAGTGGGGAGTGCCTTCTTTCTGAGATTCATTAACCCAGCAATAAGTACGTCTGCTTTGTTATTTAATCTATGCAGAGCATGTATTAAAATTTGAAAGCTCTACCATCGTTCCTGTTTCATTTCATCTCCATAGGAGGGTATATGATTAAATTGTGTAACCGAATGGTGTATCTTAGTCCCCTTCCACTTCTGTTCTTTGGGAAAAAAAAATTCTTCGATATGCTTAGAATGAACCTCCTGGTGATTACCTACACATATTTTTATCTTTTAGCTTCACCCCACGCCACAGGGATCGTTGACCAGATTCCTCCAGAGGA